ATCTGCAACACTAGTTTATACTTACATATGTTTATCATGATAATTGTTATTAATAAGTGAGTTTTATTCAACATATAACATTTTTGTGAGTTATTATATTTAGATATGTTTATCATGAGAAGTAGTAATTTATTTATTCATAATGGCCGTTAGGTAGTTTAAAATTAAGATTAAATGTAGCTTAAGTTCATTTATTTATTTAGAATATCAATACACTTTAATATATTTCTAAACAATTTCTAAATTTCATCTATGTTCGGACTTGAACCCTCAACTTTGTAAAATGTATCGTTGTTCACTATTTGTATAAAACCGAATTATCCAATTAGACATTTTGGTTTGGATATTCGAATTTTTGGATTAGTTTTCAGCAAAACCGAATTATTGTTTTTGATTTCGGATTGGTTTTGACTTATAAAATAAAAATCAAATATAAAAAAATAGAATAACAATTTATTTATTTATATTATTTACTTTTAACATATATTTTTAATAATTTATAAATTTACTAACTTATTTTTTAATAGATTAGAACATTTAATCTATTATAATATTTTAATATGTACTTCTTATCATTTTTTTTTGTCTATAAACTACTAAACTATAATATATTTTTCTTGATAGTTGTTTATAAATTTTAATTCAAAACTAATTAAACAATTTTCTCTAGTTTTTTTATAGAGTGGGTTAAGACAAAAGTTATATATTAATTAAAATATCTTGCTTCTTGAAAACTAAATTGTAAAAACAAATCTAATCCAATTATAATTTGATTGGATCAAATCAGATTTAAATTTTGTTTGAAATATTTAGATTCATAACTGAAAACCAAAATAAATTTAAATTACTTGATTGGATCAAATAAACTCATCCATCAAACAGACACCCTAAGGAGGGATGATATCTAACGATACCGCTACACCAATAATATCAAATGATTTTATTGTTTGTAATCAATATTACAAATGATATTTTTCTTATATATTCAATATTATTTGTTGTATTTAGCTAATATATATCCAAAAGTTGTTTTTTCCCTTTTCTGTAGTTTTTATTTTATAAAATAATATATATACATCAATACATATGAATACGATTATCTTGTGTATATATGTTTTTATTTAGGAAAGATTTTTATTTTTATTTGTGTAATGAAAAAAGATATATTTTTTATATTTGTTGTAGCAGCTTAAAGTTATAATTATTCATTAAAAGAACTAGTTAGAAAGGATAAATAGTACAACTAACGGTCTAATGTTATACACAAAGAGAATTTTTAGGTTTGATCTTTCAACCATATTTAGGTTGTTTTTTAGAGGCAAAAAGTATAAGCCTATAAACTACATCTACAATAGAAAATGTTGATCTAATTTTTGTAATCTATAAAAAGAATATTATTTTTTAATATCTATAGACTCTTAAAATAAATTAAAATTAAATAAATTGATTTTTTTTAACTTAAAAGAGTTCTTCAATGCTGAAATAAAAATAATTCTAGTTTTACAAGCATGAAAGGTTTCGAATTTCAATTCATTTAAGAAATTCAATATTAATATTAAAACCATACAGATCATTTGTTACTTATTCATAGATTAACAAATAATTAACTACATATCTTATCTTGTGTCAATATTTTATTGTAGTTAAAATGGGGATATATCTTATCTTGTGTCAATATATTGTTGTAACTAAAATGGGGATATATATATATATATATATATATATATATATATATATATATATATATATATATATATATATATATAAAAAGAGAAGTTCGAATAAAAAATTAATCATTTTAATCATTATTGATGTTTTACGATGAATAATTTAATTTTAGGTGCACAAACATAATGTAATTGAATTCAAATATAATTATGTCATTGATATAAAGTGACTTTTTATCTTCGGTCAATATTTCATTGTAGTTAAAATGAGAAATATTTAAAAAAATGAATTTGTATAAAAAAATTATTAATAAATTTAATCAATATTAATGCTTTACGACGAATAATTTGATTTTAGGTGCACAACACAATGTAATTGAATGCAAATATAATTATGTCATTTATATATAATGACTACAATGAGAAGTGTGTTTTTTAGTTTAGAAGATATTTAAAGATGTTAGAAGACGGTAACAACATCTGCGCTAAGAAAAAGATGCACACACATTTTTAGGTTTACGGTCTTCTAAACTCAAATAGTTTATGAATGCTAATATATGCACTTTGGCGTAAGGTTTGTTTGACGTTACAAAAAAGACCAAGAAAATTACAGACAAAAATCAAACACTATCTTAGTATCTTACAATATGCTACTCCACAAACTATTAAGCTTTTATCATATACATAAAAGATATCAAATTTCTATATGCATTATGGGTAAAAAAAAAAAGAGATCTCAACGCAAAAATCCAAATCAAACTCGAAAAAAATTAAATTCATGATTTTTTGATATATCTTACTAGTTAAGAACATACACAGGCCAGATATTTGAAAAGTAAATATTAATTAGATTACATTAATTCACTCATATTGTATTTTATTTAAGCTCATGGAAGTGGCGTCACGACACAAGCCTTGTTTATTAACAATCACATGACTAAAATGGGTTAAATAGACTTGTGTGGTCTTTATAAAACCTATTAATTTTCTAGTTTATCAAATGGGGAGGGGTTGAACTTTTTCTTTCCCGTGTATATAGAAATAGGGTTAATGACTTATTTAAATAATAAATTTATATCGGTTTTGTTAGCATTTATAGCAAGGTACATATCCTAATCATTTTTATAATTTTATTACCTCAATTTATATATGTGATAACGGGTCCATTATATAGATAGAAAAATGTAGATACATATGATCCAACTTCATGTCTAGTGTTTGTTCCATGTATTGCTGATAATATTTTTCTAGATTGTTTTTAAATGTAGCTCTTCTAAGGGGGGCCTTGTTTTCTTTTTGCCTAAGAACATTTTCAATGATAGTTTTTTCTAAAGTTTTATAATATTTGAAAAGAGCTTTTGGAAAACCTTTTACATCTAGAGAATAAGGCTCATTTGAGATGACAATTCAAACACTTATTTTTTTCTAACATTTTAATTTTCTTTTAGACTATATCACAATTGATCCCTACATTTAGTAACATTTTATTTTATATCCTAATTATATTTAGATAATAGATTTCTTTTAAAATTAATATTAGTTAATTAATTGATTTAATAAACAAAATAAAACTTATAATGTTTTATGAAAAAGTTATATAATTCAAAAATAATTGTCAAAACTTTTAAAATTAAAAAATATTAATTTCGCAAACAACCTAATACCAACTTGTAACAACCTAATTTTAGAAAAAAATTTAAACTGTTAATTTCGCAAATATCATCCACAGGAAGTACAAAAATCCCAATACATATCCATATTATTTTTGAATTCAGAGTACAAAAAGCTAGTTGTGAAAATACTGGAGAATGCACGCCACATCATCAAGCCGGGCCCTTGCACTTATCAGTAGAAGTACCTGAAAGATTCAATAAAATTGTAAGCACACGTTTAGTGAGTTTCCCAATCACACAAATCATATAATCACATAATGTCATGCTTATGTTAGGCTATGAGCAAAACATCAATCCTATGGTGCATAATAACAAACTAAATAAATAAGGGGTGCATAATAGATAAACATATAAAAGGACAAAAAGTATCAAACTCAACAAAATCCAAATACATTTATGTAAAGGAACCAAAAGTGTATAACACTCAGGGGCCAAAACTGATAATGAGGTAAACATATGTGGTCAAAACGTGAAAAAGGCAAACATCATTATTCACACGTGTTGTAATTTAAATACAAAGTAATATGCGCTTCACGGCGGTTAGAATAATATTTTTTTATGTTTATATATTTCGGTGTTTATTTAGTTATTTTTTGAATATCGAAGGTGGGGATGGGGACCAAACATGCCAACTCCACAAAGTAATACGATAAAAACTTTTTGTGAGAATATCGAAGGTGGGGGGGGGGGGGGGGGACCAAAAACGCCAACTCTACAAAGTAATACGACAAAAACTTGAGGGGTCACATTTGATAAATGTAAGGAACCAAAGTGGCAAACTCTTGAAACATTTGTGATTAATCTTTTATATATATATATATATATATATATATATATATATATATATATATATATATATAAACTGCAATGGATTAAAAGTGGCAAACATAAAATATAAAATACAAGTAACTAAAAGTGGCAAACATAAAATACAAAGGACAAAAAATAGCAAATTCTTGAAACTTTTATGGCTAATTTATGAATATATATAAAATGCAAGGGACCAAAAATGGCAAATATAAAATACAAGAGACCAAAAGTGTGGCTATATTATGAATATCTATAAAATGCAAGGGACCAAAAGTGGCAAACATAAAATAGAAGGGACCAAAAGTGACAACTTCTTGAAACCATTGTGGCTAAACTATGAATCATAAAAAGCAAGGGACCAAAAGTGACAAACATAAAATGCAAAGGACCAAAAATTACAACTTCTTGAAACTTTTGCAACTAACCTACAAAATTATTAAAAAGTCACTATTCCCAATGGTTATCCTTTAAAGTAGTGTACTCTTTATTTTTTTATTTAGATTTTTTTCGGGTTATTTTATAAAAAACCGTCAAAATTTGGTTAGTTCCATATCTGTCGCATCAAATTAGAGGCACAACAAAAAACCCAATATCTTCTTACTTAATGTTATAAGATTACCTATTTTCAAATCATTTTTCAAAGTGGGCTCATTTGAGTTTTCTTTGACAAATTTTGATTATAAATACTATATATACAAAGTTCATTTTCGAGTAACATCTATAAGGTTGTTAGTGCGGACAACGTTTATATGGACGTTTTTGCGTGTTATAACAGCACAAGCACCACCCCCTTCATCGTATTTGCACGTTATAGATAGGAGCGAACGCAAGATTTCATAATAGGGGTTGCATGGGAAGATTAAAGGTTGCATGATAGTAGAAAAAATAAAAATTTTAAAAAATTTTAAAATTTTTTCCACTGCTGCTAAAAAATTTAGGGATTGAACCTCTAAATCCGCCCTGATTATAGACCTACTCATTGCTTTCTGTTACCACCACAACTTTCATTTAACCCCATTTCCTTTTTTTTTTCTAAAAACGTCAGTTACCCACACCTACCGCCATAAGAAAATATAAACTTTAAAGTTGTTTTATGCCCAATTTTGATATATTTAGGAGGATGTGTTTAAATAAAATACGACAGTGGCTATTTTCTGTGGGCTAGCCTACAAACAAACCACGGGCCACTGACATAATATTCCTGTTTTAAGGGTTGAAGAATCGTCTACGAGTTTATTGATTGAGAAATAATTGGATAACTTGCTTTGAGACAGATCCCGGGAACCGATATGGCTCCGAAAGACGAAATTGATGGAATGAAGTTCGAGCAGAGACATGGAAAGGAGCGCGTTAGAGTTGGTAGAGTCTGGAGATCAGGAAAAGATGGCCGCCACTTCTTCGTCGAATGGAACGTCAGCATCAGTCTCCTCTCCGATTGTATTCCCGCCTACGTTCGCGCGGATAATTCCGATATCGTCGCAACTGATACCATGAAAAACACTGTAAGTTTGACTACTTCCCTACTGTTTCCTTTTAGATGTTATAGTAGTAACTAATGGGTGATTTGATCTATTTAATATACCCTTGTTACGCTATGATTCGAGCTCTCGATCTAGCTTTTAGCGGTAAAGATTTTATTTTTTGGGTTTTTAAGTTCGAGGACAATTGAACTCTAGAGATGAAGTTGCTATAGGGCATAGAAACCTTTGGCCACTTCAAGGTTCATCCAAACCTTCTTTAGCTGCAAGTGACCTGACCTCTTACACTCTGCCCAAAGCATCCAGAAACGTCAAAACAGCGTTAAATTTCTCAAATTAAGGCTAAATGGATTCCAATACCCAATCTGTGAGGTCATGGATTTTGCTAGGGGAGCATCCGATCCATATGCGATCTTGATAAACATAATTAGATTAAGGTGTGATTTGGGTTGTTGTCCTTGAATCACTATGGGTATAATTTTGATCCCCAAAACCTCTCAAACTAAACACAAATGGATCGCATCTCCTTTTCTAAATGTTTATGTTGCAAAATCATATTATTTCCCACTATTCTTACTCTGTTTTCTACATTCACACCGCTGCATGTAATTTGAAGCTCCTATTGGCTGATGGAATTGCAGGTATATGTGAAGGCAAAGGAGTGTTCAGAAAAGGTTTCTGTGGAGGAATTTGCAATTCTACTTGCCAAACACTTCACATCATTTTATCCACAGGTAAATTTATATAGTAGTAAGGCCTCTCATACTCAATTGTTAGTGATTATTACAAAAATGTTGATAGTTTTGGTTTTGGTCCACGTAATTTCTTTATCATTGTTGAGGGCAATTTAGATTTGATTAATAGTCAAAACTCAAAACATTTTCATCATCCTTTCTTTTGGACAAGAGCAGTATTAGAAATTTCTTTAAGTCCAATGTCCTGTCTACATTTGTGTAATAAGGTGGAAATAAACAATAAATTCTTAAGAAATACGAGAGATAGGTAAGAATCCGAATGAACCCAAGATAGAAAAAGGGTGAGTGTAGATATCTAAGGGAATGTCCATTTGATAACTTATAAATTAAAACTTGTTTTGCATTATATCATTTGTTTCTAGTTAGCTATACCCATAATAACTCTTGGTTGTTGTGAAAAATGAAAATCCATATTTTTGGTATGTAGGTTACAACTGCAATCATCAAGATAGTGGAAAAGCCATGGGAGCGTATCAGCATATCTGGTCAACCCCATGACCATGGTTTTAAACTTGGATCCGAGAAACATACAACCCAAGTTATTCTCACCAAAAACGGGTCTTTGCAGTTGACTTCTGGTGTTGACGGGTTGGCATTGCTGAAGACAACAAAAGTAACCTACTTCCTACTTCTTCCCTCAAATAGATAAACTTATTTCTGGTAATTTTTGTAAATTAATGTCTACATTACAGTCAGGTTTTGAGGGATTTATACGTGACCATAACACAATACTGCCCGAAACACGAGAGAGGATGCTCGCTACTGAGGTCTCTGCATCATGGAGGTAATTGATCATGATGGAATGGAATTGGAATGGTTGATTCCATTCTTCTAGTTTGTTAAAATTTCATTTTCTTAGCATTAGGTGTTGTTATTTTTTGATTCCAGATACCATTTTGAATCTCTACAAAGTATTGGCAAGGGCCCACTTGGGTTCACTGAAAAATACCTTGATGTGAAGAAGGTTTTAGTGGACACTTTCTTTGGTCCTCCAAAAGAGGGGGTATACAGCCCATCTGTTCAAGCCACTCTTTATGACATGGCAAAAGCTGTTCTTGCCAGGTCTCTCTCTCTCTCTCTCTCTCTCTCTCTCTCTCTCTCATTAGTTAATTACATGGGTGAATGCTGATAGGTTTATTTATTATTTAAATATCAGATTTCCAGATGTATCGTCGATTCAGTTGAAAATGCCAAACATCCATTTTCTGCCAGTTAATTTATCAAGCAAAGTCAATCCAGTAATTGTAAAGGTATATTTGGTGTTCATTTGTTGGTGATTTTAGTTGAAGTTGAATGTTTTATGGTTATTAAGTATTATGATTTTTTGTTGATGTGGTTTTTGTTTTGACAGTTTGAAGATGATGTGTACCTACCAACAGATGAGCCACATGGATCAATTGAAGCAAGCTTGAGTCGCATTCGGTCTAAAATGTAGAAGTTTGATGGTGACTTACTTGGTCTTTTTCATTTTTCTATTACCTTATCTTGAAAGATGGGATGCTGTTTAAAAAGTATGATGTGTAAATTATGTGTACTTAATAATAATAATAATAATAATAATAATAATAATAATAATCAATTTCTCACAATGCATGCAATTCTGTCACCGTTTTTTTGTCGATCTGTTTCGTGTGTCCTTTGAATAAAGGGCGATACTTCCATATTTTCATATGTATGAGTTTGAAAAAAAAAGCTTTGTTAATTGTAACGATGGCATAAAGTACGCATTATAGACTTTGGTGGAAAAGGTTTCTAACATTTCAATAGAAATCTTCAAAATTGTGATGTGATTCAAGCATTAAGTAAGTTTTTAGGAAATTTTTTATTGTATCATGTACGATTATTTGGATTGTAATTTTTGTTAAGATACATAAGTCAGTAAAGATGATGGTGTTTGCAAAAGAAATAAGCCGAATATCACAATGTGTGTAGATATTAGCATTAATAATCTTCATATTCTTATAAAAATAACAAACAAATCAGCTATATCTGCGTATGTATGTGTATATTTTAGGATAATGTACAAATTGTTTATTAAATGTGTTACAGTTTCAAATATGTATGACGAATTTTGCCAATGAGTTATTATTTTGAGTTTTGGATAGTATTGATTTGAAAATTAAATATACTGTTTTAGATATTTTTTATAGTCAAATTATCTGTTTTATATCTCCGTCGTTCGTTTCATTCACACACAGGTTCTAAAAGAGAATTCACGCAACTGCATCTTCCAAATTGCAACACAATGATGCTCTCTCTCTCTTTCTGCACACACACGGATACAAACATTTATATGCAGATGCAGTCTCCAGAATCTGAGTTTCATAACTTTCATCACTAGTCATGAATTCCAATAATTCACAAAATCGCAATCCCCGGATTTCAATAACGAAATCCTCCTGTTTCTTCTCAATTTTAGTCATCGTCATTGCAATTTCAGTCTCATTCATCATCCCCCAAACAAATTATGTAAAAACTCAATACCTAAATCCAACTATCTCGTCGCTTCTTTCGCATATTTTGAGAATTCGTGGGTTCAATCGCACAATTTTAAACCCTAGTAAATCTACGTCAACAAGCCCTAATCTGCTTCCTAATCACTGTTTGCTATGGATGGCTCCGTTCTTTTCTGGTGGCGGCTATTGTTCTGAAGCTTGGTCTTATATATTAGCGCTCAATCAGTATAGCAAAACCAGTAGCTTCAGATTGAGTATCGCTCCACACGGGGATAGCGATAATTTTCAATTTTGGGAGGGTTTGCCTGTACAGATGCAAAGGTTAGCTTCTGAGCTCTACCAAACTCAATGTAGACCAGAGGAGTCGATTGCAATTTGTCACAGTGAACCTGGTGCTTGGAGTCCGCCATTGTTTCAAACAACACCTTGTCCACCACCAAATAGCAGGTTTACTATTGGCCGAACAATGTTTGAAACAGATAGGGTGAACCCCGAGCATGTAAAGCGATGCAATTCCATGGATATGGTGTGGGTTCCTACTGAATTTCATGTGTCTTCTTTTGTAAATAGTGGCGTTGATCCATCAAAAGTCGTGAAAGTCGTACAGGCCATAGATACAGAATTCTTTGATCCAATCAAATACACCCCATTGGATCTTTCAGCTTTAGGGAATTTGGTACTCGGTTCTAGTTCAGAGCGATTGAATTCTAGAAATCCATTTGTGTTCTTGAGTGTGTTCAAATGGGAGTACAGAAAAGGTTGGGATGTTTTACTACAATCTTACCTTAAAGAATTCGATTCTTCTGATGGGGTTAACTTATACCTTTTAACAAACCCTTACCATTCTGATAGAAATTTCGGGAACAAGATTCTGGAATTCATACAAGATTCCAAATTGGAAAAACCCATAAAAGGTTGGGCTCCAGTTTATGTGATTGATTCTCACATAGCCCAAGTTGAGTTTCCAAGACTTTATAAAGCAGCCGATGCTTTTATCTTGTCATCTAGAGGTGAAGGGTGGGGAAGGCCAATTGTTGAAGCCATGGCTATGTCTCTACCAGTGATTGCCACAAACTGGTCAGGGCCAACAGAGTATTTGACCAAAGTCAACAGCTACCCACTCTCTGTTGATAGAATGAGTGAAGTTACAAATGGACCATTTAAAGGTCATCTATGGGCAGAGCCTTCTGTTGATAATCTAATGTTTTTAATGAGACATGTAATGAGCAATCCAGAAGAAGCCAAGAGTAAAGGTGAGAAAGCCAGACAAGATATGATCAACAAATTCTCCCCTGAGATTGTTGCAAATATAGTTTTTGATCAAATACAAGGAATTCTTGAAAAACTAGACTAACATCTTTTACATCAATTGGAAGAGGATACATTTTATTTGTTAGCATCAAGCCAATCAAGAATACCCTTTTCTGTTTCAGTAAGTTCTTTCTTCTGTCTCAATGTGCCTTCTTCAAAAGCAAAGTAGTCCTTGTAATTACGCTTGTAATAGCTGTCTAGTCTCTGCAATAGAAACAGTAAAAAACATCACAAATAGTCAACTAATATTTCTTAAATGATTTTTTTTTTACCTCCTTATCATTCTTGGTTTTGTTTTCCTCTGATTTCTTCAAGTACTCTGAGTAAAAGGCATCATGGTTACTGTTAATTTTGGTAACTTGTTTAAACATACATGTTTTATAAAAGGAGACATACTTTGAAGAAGTTCAGTCTTTGAGTCATTAACAGCAGCCAAAGTTGCAAGCAGGATTGCTCTTCTTCCTTCTCCTAGTCCATTACTGTCTGTAACCCTTGTTGTCCTTCTGAATCTTGAACCTTTTACTTTTTCTCGACTGTTTTCAGCAGCTTGAATGGATGAAGCCAATGTAGTAATGTAAGCTCTTATTGCCATTACAAGTTATTTCTTTACCTTATCCTCCTATCATTTCAAAAGTTCCTCTCTATGTGAATATATTATATTCAGTAGCCTCTCTCTCTCTTTTTTCTTGGCCACTAGTTATATTTATTATGGATATGATGATGGTGACTAGGAAATTTGGCTGCTTATGAACTTGTGACTTCATGAATCCTAATCTTGAATATCTGAAATTTTTTGTGAGAGGTCAGATTACTATTTTGATATTTTTATACACAAATTGAACATGAGTTTTAAGACTAACCTTCAACTTCACTATACTATCATGAGTCTTTGATGCTAACCCAGCGTATTTACACATACCGAAAGAAAAAGGGTTGCACTTAATGCATAGTGATTAGTGACATTCACGTCTTTATAAAGATTGAAGTCGAAAAGACCCCACGCAGATAAAACCATTAATCATTGGTTATCAAAATTTAATAAAGTTTATTGTAAGACTGACAATCTTATCGTGTTCGGGTTGGTGGGTTGACGGGTTAAAGTATACCAACTAGAACACGATCCATTTAACTATACAGGCCGTGGGTTGGCGGGTTTGGAACATAAACCCATGTATGACCCGTCAACCCATTTATTTATACGGGTTCACAAGTTGACGGGTTCGTAGATCAGATTTGGGTTCGTGTGTTTGTGGGTTGAATCGCAACAAATCAATTGTCTACTGCATTTTGCGCTCTTCGTTCACGTCCAGGCTTCAACGTCGTTTGATAATGATTCAATAATTCATGTCGCCGTTCTTCGTGATTTCGTTTTGTCGTTCATCATAGAGGGGAAAGCGAGAGAGGGCTTGTTCAATTTTTTTTTGTGAGATACTAAGATTATTTAAGACAAATGCCAAATGCCAATGATTAATCAAGTTTTTTTATAATAACTTATCCAAATCTTGAATTGAGAGGATGTTGTTGCTATTTTAATTTCCCATAATGTGATAAGCACTAAACATCATAGGGGTATCCAAAAGGTTGCATCTTTAAATATTATGCCAAATGGTTTCGTAATAGATAAAAGAGACAAATTTAACACCTTGAAGTGCCATCCAATCAACCTATAAATGGAAAAACAAATCACAAATAGAAGAAGCCATATACAGTTTGTGTCACACCCCAAAACCTGAACGGCGGAAAACGTTCTGGAGTGTAGGACGTCGTGTACAGTATCACAACACAGAATAATAGTAAACAAGCAAACAATATCATCCATTGCATTAAATAATATATTTTAATACAAGTGTGTTCTGTAAAGTTTAAATGACACCAAAAGGTAAATCAAAATATAAGACGGGTCTTGAATGCACTCTATCTTCTCAAAAGCTGGCATCGGTATCTGTTTCCTGATGACTTGAGAATACAAGTTATTTTGAAAGAGTTTGTCAGCTTTAGAGCTGGTGAGTTCATCAGTATTTTAGTATCATTGCTTGCATCAAAATGTTTGTAATAGTGTTTGAAGTATGAGTTTGTAATCAGTTGTAGTAAAAGTACGTGAATGCTTGTAAATGTTTGTAATTCCTAGAAAATCCTATATTTTCTACTAAAAGTAGCCTTCTACCAAGGCATGACTGTTTTGTATGTTAGTTTCTTGTAAAAGTGTATAATTTTCCCAAGTGTAACTATCATTATTAAAATATAGTTTATACATTGTTGTTTATGTGAAATGATCACAAAATAAATGCAAAGGGTAAATTAATGTAGTACTGTAGTGTTGTATTATAGTAACTACCACTGTACTAACTACCTTAAACCGGATTTATATTAAGGTATTATGTGATTAATTGTACCATGCTATCGATTATGAACACGACGATGTAAGACGTCAATGACATTTGGCACCTGTAGACCTGTAGGTCCCATTATAGCTAGCAACAAGGTGTATGATAGTCATTCCAGTATAGATCTATACGCAAACTCACGCTCTCCCTCCAGGAGATTCTGGTTACAAATCGGGCCATGTCAGGGAAGACATGCCCCGAAACAGTGGTTCACATTTATGTTATAGTATACTTGTATGTGTAATGTATGTACTAGTGTAGAGAAGGTATTGTTTCTCATCATAGTATCGTTGTATAGTTTCTCATAATAGTAAGTATTGACTCATGAATGAACTAACTCTTTGTATGCTTCATTTAACTAGAAGTAGTGAGTAGTATAACCCTAAACTATACCTATTATAGTTTACTAGTATAATCGGTTGTATGACTGTATGTGTTGAACTGAGATAAAAGTCTTTATTTATACACATATATACATAATATATAACTAAGGATCCAACAACACTCGGACAAACAACAGGGTACTCTAAGTCCACAACCAAACAAGGAACAAGAAATAAAGTGAGTTGGCAGTCCTAAGTCCTTCAATCCTTACTTATATAACTATATATGTATTAAACATGGTTTTTAACAATATGTAAGTTTGAAAGCTGTAATGGAAAAGGTTTGATACATAAAAGTGAGTTTAGTAAAGAGTTTAACATGTAAAAGAGTTTGATAAGCAGTTTGAAGTCATTTGCTTAGTAAAACAGTTTGGAAGTATAATAAATCCATATGTTTGATAGTTATTAATCACATGTGATTGATATAATAATTATGATATTCAACTTGTATCCCCCCCTATAAAAGCATTTAAAATCATTTAAAATATTGATTAAGGGATATGAACTCACATGTAGTGAGTGATGCGACTGTAAGATCGATTTAGGAAGTTGAGCGTCAATCGCGGGCTTGAGAACAAACGGATACAAGAAACTTGAAGATCAACAAGTTGGAGGCAAGAACGTTTGTGGGTCTGAAGTCTATCTCAGCTAGTTTCATTTGAGGTATCAATTCATGATATTGGCCTTATTCCTTTCTAGATCTATTTGTTTGAAGTTAGGGCTTCTTGGCTTGGTGGTGAAGCTATTCTTGGGTATGAGCTCAGATCTGAAGTTGTAACTTCAGATCTGAACTCTCTTTGATTTGTAAGTCCATAAAGCTATCATATTGGGCAAGTATGAACCCCTCCTTAAGTGTAAAACCCCATTTCAAGCTTGGTTTTGGCATTTTGAGTCATTAGAGCCTTGCATGCACGTAAAGTTTGCTACTTTACGTGATAAGCATGCCTTGGGAAGTTGGATCTGTAGTATGAAGCCTTAGCATGGCTTAAAAAGCATCTGTATGGATGAATGACTGAAAGGACTCAATGAGTCGCATGGTAGACTCGACGAGTCACATGAAGATGGTCATGAACTCGAAGACTCGAAGAGTTGGATGAGCAACTCGGCGAGTCCGATGAAGATTGCCTTGGGCTCGGCGAATGACATGGTGACTCGGAGAGTTGGTAAGTTATGCAAGGAACTCGGCGAGTAGTTGAGGGTACTCGACGAGTTGAGGTCAACATGGACTGTTGACCTTGATAGTTGACTTTGACTTTGACCACGGGTTGACCGTTTTGACTTTTGAGGATAATTGATAAGCGGGTATTTATGAATTGAATCTTTGATGGTTATATGTGTTGGAGTTTAGGGCAGTGTTTCGGGAGCATGATTTTGTGGTTCAGTCCGACATTGCAAGGTGAGTTATCCTCACTATATCAACAGGGTCTAAGGCATCAAGGCCGACCTTTTTCTCGGATTGTATACTTGTATTTGTTTGATATGATTATTGTTTTGTTAGGTGAGTTATCCTCACTATATCAACAGGGTCTAAGGCATCAAGGCCGACCCTTTTCTCGGATTGTATACTTGTATTTGTTTGATATGATTATTGATTTGTTAGATCAGCGTCTTGGTAAATTATGACGGTATTACGTTAGTGACCTGGTTTAGGTCGGTATCCTGATATATAGGATGATGCTATGTTAGTGACCTGTTAGGTCGGTATCCTGGTTAGGATTGTTGCTATGCTTTGTGATCTGTTAGATCGGTTTGATTGTTTTATATATATATATATATATATATATATATATATATATATATATATATATATATATATATATCAAGGTTGTAAAAATCGCTCGACGTTAGCTACTCGGTGGACTGGGGTCAAGGGAATAATCGGCTAGGCGGAGATTAATCGGGGACCATTAATTGCTAATTTGTTAGATTTTAAAAAATTAAATATGACTAATATCATATAAAAGTTCGTAAATACCACTAATATCATAACAAAATAGGTTTATATGATAAGTACAACACTAATCATACCTCAAATAGTTTATGTTGAAATATAACTTCTCAAAGTGTTAAAATTTCATCGGGTTCTCCTTTTTCAGTCATTTTGTATGCAGAAATTAATCGCTATGCATCCTCTAGTCGGTCGAGTAGCGCCTAGGGATTAATCGGGTCCTAATCGGGATTTTTACAACACTAATATATATATATATATATACATATACATATATATATATATATATACATATATATATATACATGCTAGTGTTGTATGATATCTA